ACATTCAGTATAAAGCCTCATTGTGCATCCTTCAAAATGATATGCATTGACTTCTGGTGCTCTTTTCAGTTCAATTGCCAGCACTTATTGTCCAAGACTTGAGAGACCGGTAGTATTGACTGACTATAGATCAGGTCCACTCCAGCTTTTGTGCTATTAGGAGAGTGAGCGGTTCAGGCCCTGCCCCACTGCTCTTTAATTGGTCCCCTCAGAAGGTGCACACAAATTTCACCATCACAGAGTAAGATTACGCTCAAGAACGAGAGGATTCCTGTGTGCACTCTGCTAGCCATCGATTAGCTCACTCTATCAGCATTGTTTCAGCTTCACTTTTTTATCGCATTTCTTTTCAGCCAGTAGATTACGATCTTACGAGGTGGTCCTTGGGTAAACTATACAAGGTGAGATAAAGAGAAGGAGACAGAGCAGGAAAGTGGTTGAAATAAATGGGAGATGACTCTGGATTGCCAACTGGGTAAAAGGTTTTATGCTCACATTTAATCAGACAATTATGGTACTTATTAAGTTCTATAAAGTCATAATTTCAGACAGAAAATCCAAACTTGTTGAACTTCATAATTATTTTTTGGATTAACTCCACAAAATTGCAATATTCTTATGTTTAAAACTTATATCAGTTCAACAGAGTCTCTGTCTTTGGGGTTGAAGAATGGCACCACTTTCTGAAGCCATGGTGAGAAAACAAAATTTCACGTTTTTTGTTTACGCTGACAGATAAGCAGTGGAACTTTGTGTGAATGTCTATTTCATGTGAATGGTCCTGTAATTATAGAGATATTAACTATACTAGGATGATATAAACAGAAAATGAGCACCATAAGACCTATCCTCCAGATCTATCTGTGGGCTTTCTAGAATGATTACAAAACATTTGAGACTGTCCACAGCAAATTTATTATCAGGATATTTTTAAACATTGAAGGCATCAAATACAATGTAGAACTGTTGACAGTGGCATAAAAATGGGTTCTATTTCTAATTCATGGTGTGCTCAATTCGACCTGACATTTCAGTTCAGATGTTTCTCCAAGTGACTGCATTGGTCTTGTCAGAGCATGTGTACAGTGTGGTTGGAAGGAGACCACAGGCATCTGACAAGAGCAAGCAGGAGTCATCCACTGACAAAATACACTGTCATAGCACCTATGTTACTTGTTGAAAGGACTCAGATTATTTGTCTTTGCTTCACATCGGCTGATTTATTTATCATCAATACTGCATGCATATTTGCTTCATAATCACAAATCACAAAAAATGACAATAATAACAATATTGCAATATTTGTATTGCAAAAATGTTGAATAGCAAAGCATATAGAGAGACATAATATTTTGATTTAAATTGTTAATCGTGATGGCAACAGTCCTAGTTTTTATTTCAGTGTGAATCTTATTGAATAGCTTAGTTGGCCAAATATGTCATACTGTAAAATGTAAAGCAAAAAATGCATTTAATGAACTCTTTCTTGTGTCTTGTGTTCTTTTGTATCACCCGAATCATGAATTAGAATTGCATTACACTTTGTAGTGAGCTGAAGTGTGGACTGGGCTCAAAGTGTGCTGTTAAACAAATACCTCTCAAAACCATATGGCAAAAATGGATCATTATTTTACATTTTGGGCAATTAAAATCGCAATAGAGATCTAAAGCGCCTTAATAAAAGAAAAAAGTTTGCTGACTTCTGGTTGAAAATTGCTGCACTGACTTCTGCCTGCCCATTTGCCTTACGTCATGGTAAACGTCAAAGCAACAACGTGAAGCACTGATGGACCGTGCTGTGGGGTCCAGTTCACACTTGCAAGCAGCAGAATGTTTTTAATTTGTGCCAAAAAGGCCATGTGATGCTGTTGAATCCATGTATCACCGATAAGCAAAAAAGTGGGTGGTAGTGTATGAGGGGTCAGTGAAAACACGCAATTTCTGAGCAATGGTGTCTCGATTGCAAGAAAATAAAAATTACTGAACAGGCCTGAATCATTTTAAATGCAACCAGAGGGGGTAAATGAAAAGTGAATACAATTATACAACATTTCTAATCAATATTTTGATAATCAGCCCACTCTATTACAATAATAGTACTCTGCAATATTCCTGAGTTTCAGTTTCCTTTATACAGGTGCCATTTTGAGTACTTAAAGAATATTTTAATTTGAGTTGTTAATTGCTAAAGCAATGGTGCTCATTTTTCATCAATCTGAAAACCATGGGTAGTTTAAAATTTACTGTACGGCAGGGTCAGATCGTCTTCTTTTCTTGTGAGCTGGAGTAGTGGTTTCATCAGAAAAACAATGAAAAACAGAAGGCTTCTTCAAAGACAAATGAAACTCCTTGTGGTGCTCTGTTTTATAAGTGACAGACAGGCCTTTGCTGCTTTTACATTGGACATATGCTCAGAGCATTATGTAGACTTCTGTCAACAGAGACCTCGATATCCCAGACTATACCATTCTTGACCACTTCACACACAAAGCACCCAACAAGCTCTGAAATATGTAAGGAACAGTATCAAGATTCTATGTGGTTTTGAACAAAGGATTATTATATCCTCACCTTTCTACAGATTTGCATTTTAACAAGACTATCAAAGAAAAGTCACTGCAATGCCCTTCAGATCCGACTTTTGTATAAGACAACTTATGATAATAATGTTGTCTAAATGTATTTGATTGTGCTTTTATCACATTTTCTCATCTAGAATCCACATTGCAGCATGTTTGCTTCTTCAAATCAAAACACTAAAGCACTCACCCCAAACACAGAGCACAAAGAGCAAACAGCTTTAATCCAATGTCATCAAATATATATTTGCTTTTGATTACTCTTGGAATCAATTCATCATGGGCAGGGGAGGCAGTGTGCGCTGTACTGACAAGATGCTTACATGTCCCACACAATCACTCTCATTTGGTCTTTTTGAACATGTACTAAACTGAACAACGTTTGAAATATTTGTCTGAAGACAAAATAAAAATGATGAAGTGGATAAAAAGAGAAGGATATTGCATGTTTGGCATTGAGCGGTCTGTGGCGTGGCTCTTTCCTTTGTGATGATGTCCTTGAGTTGGTCAGTGAGGCATTGAATAGTGCATTGTGGATGGGCTGTTATCTCCAAGGCTTCTCTTTCAATGTTATTAAGAAACACATAGACAGTGCCAGAGCCAAGGCCAAAAGCTAAACCCACAGCCGCAGAATGAAATAGCAACATTTCCAGCATCAGTCCACACACATTTGACAAGCGGACATCACTGTAGGATTAAGAGGATTGAAAACAATAAAACCAGACAAATTTGGAGATTAACATTTTGGCCATAAGCACATTCGGTTCAACAAGCTACTTTGACCAGATGGATTTTATTAATTTTGTATGTCTGACTGCATGATGACCGTAGCATCTACATTTATTTGGCTAAATAGTTAATAACTTAGGTCTTTTAACATTGAGGATATATTTTTTGTTTTAAATGATTATTGTTGTAAAACCTGACAGAATGTTCTGTCAGTCTAATTAACAGAGAATTTGAAGATTCTAACTATTAAACTTTATTCAAAAGAGTTTTGTCTGTATAGAGTGTTAAATTTATTTATTATCAGTCATCCATGCATCAGCTTACTGGGTTTGTCAACAGCTCTTTTGTTTACTTTTTAACATTGTTCTGGCAAATGCATTTCAATGGATGTTTGCACTGTGCACCCAAGAAAGGCAGATTTTGACAATACCGTCGTCTAATAGATTTTCTATACCTTCGTGCATTATGCAGTTTTAACGCACAAAAATATGGAAGCTTCCTCCATGAAGTGATGCATTAAAACTGCATAACTGATAAGAATCAGATTAATTTAATCTGCATATACCATGGTTCTACAAAACTGAAATAGGTAATCTATGAGTCTGACAGCAAACTGGCCTATTGTTAGAGCCTATAGTATAAGTGCTATGAAAAATGTTTTTTTTTTTTACTAAATAATGCAGTGAAACCAACCATAGAGTCCTACACCACTGATGATAGCAGCTGGTCTGGTCATATCATTTCATATGACATGTCAGTTCAATCAAAGCTGCAGCTTCAGAAGAGTTGTTTGGGTTAAATAATACATAGCTCCAATGCCTTTTATTCCACTTTCTGATCACTCATGGGTCCTCTCAGAGGATCAGACAGAAGTGAGCTGCTTTTGGTAAAGAAAGAGCTAGTGTCCAACAAACAGCAGGAGCAGTCAGCAGCACACATAATAGCCATTAAAAAATTATCTAGCTGATTATTTAGAATGTATATAGCATTTCTCTGTGAACAGACTAAGGGTGGCTAACTTATGTTATGGTGATCTGAAGTCAGTCAGACATCTGTGATGGAGCTCAGCATAGAGCTGCAGGCATGCGGCTCACTTTGACTCAAAGCCTTGACCTGTCTAATGTGTCTGTAATAGTCAAATTAACACTGATATAAGAAATGCTAACCCTTCATCAAAAAAACGTAATCTAGATGAAAGCTTCATCTTGCAAGCTAAGTGTTAGCTGGCTCAAATGTAGTGATCAGTTGAGACTGGTGAGTTGTTTGTCAAGGATGGGGCTACATGTCCAGGTATTATGATAAGTTGTTCAGTTCATATTAAATAATTGTTGTGCAGAAACTGTATTTATTAATTTAGGCTATTTATTAAAACGTAGGCTATTAGTCCAACAAGGCAAGTCCCAGTAGTAGCCTACTTCTGGGACTGACTGATATTTAGGCTACTAAATATGCCGCTTTGTTATCACAACATTGAGACGGGTTTGAAACATTAACTGTAACGCATGCCTACCGTTCTCATTTAAGGGTGTTTTATGATCTGACTCAACACTTCGCCTTATTATTTAAAATGAAGATCACAGGGAAATCACCAAAATTAGAACGAGAACTTTTAGCGATAACTAGGAATACAGCCAGTAAAAAGACTTTACACGTGGGCAACTAGCTTAAATCTAATATTTGAGTGTATCTTACCTCTTGCCAGCGCAGGTATAACTTGTAAAGTGAGCAGTCCGATGACAGCAAAACTCCAGCAGCATCCTCCTGAAAACTGTCCCATCACTGTTCCGCTGGGGTCCCTCTCCGGAGGCTCTGGACGCACCGGTGTTGGGTTTGGGGCATTGGTAGTGCACAGAGGACCGATGTACACTGGTCCTGGTCCTGGCCGTGACCGGCGTGTGTGATGCCGCTGCCGCCACCGGTGCTTTCGCAGTGCGGCGAGGAGAGACGCAGAGTTGTGTGGAGCTCTCGGCGGCTGCCACCGTACTGCGCGCGAAGAGGAGAGGCGCTGCTAAAGAGCGGGTCGGGGGTGGGGTGGCGCGCCCGGACCGCATGGACCTGTTGAAAAGACACCGGTGTCCGACATGAGGCGTGGTGAGATCAACGCTGTTATCAGCGCAGCGTGCAGTGCGTGTTGTCAGTTCCCATGATTATCGCAAACTCCTTTTATTTACTCCGAGAGTCTTTATGGACCATACTGTAGGCTACAGTGATGGATCAGTGTCCTACTTGAGTCCTACTTGTATCGTTTTACCATATTTTCCTATTTCTTGTAGTCCTGTTCGGAAGTAAAACAGGCCAAAGACTCAACAATATTGCATAGGCCTAAATATATGGATCAGGATAGTCTTTGCAAAAGAACTAAGCTCGTGTGTGGGGAAGAAATGCATATTCTAAGACATTCCCAGAAAGGCATGATGCATGCAATTATTGAGCTAGCTGCTGCACCTGTCCAAAGGAGGATTATGCAATTTGTGCAAAGTAGCATGTGCCTTTTAGTTTTTACTGCACAAAGCACATTTGTTCTGTGTAAAACTAAATCACAAATGCATGGAAACTGGATCTACCATGGTTTACTTCAGCACCAAGCAGTGGTAAATAAACAAACCAGGGCAGGAATAAAACTGGCACTTTAAATCAAGTTAAATTATGCCATTTAATAGGAGCAGCCCTGGATCTGTTTTGATGAGGCAGCCAGAAGACAGCCAGGGCACAGAGGTTGTCTTTACAAACACAGCCTTTATGTTGAAGAAGTGATTGAAACATTTAACCAACATGTCCTTGGCTCTCTCTGTGGCCTGTTCTTCTTCAGTGGCCTTCAGGCAGAAACAATCCAACAATATAAGAGATATAAAATGACACAGAGACATTGTGTGGGAGGCCTCTGTAAGCTTTCGATTGTTGTGGTAAATGAACTGCAGAGTAAACAGCAAAAATGCACTGAGGAAAATGGATTATGTACTTTTTGAAGAAGTTTAAAGATTACTTGAACTGAATGTTCAAATATAGCACAAATTAAAGTAGAACTATGCAACTTTTCTGTTGGGGGGTGGGGGGTGGGGCTGGAGTTACGTAGGCTTGTGGGCTGAGATTTATACAGGCTTGTTTTGTAAAACATAAGGAAGGTTGAAATAGTGTTCAAGAGAAAGCAAGATTACTCAAACATGCATGATGGATGCCATTTAAAACAACTCCAGGCATGTTTTGATGAGGAAACAATAACATGGAAGAAATATCCAAAAAAAAAGAAAGAAAAAAAAAAAAACCTTGGGAAGCCATATGGTGGAGCATTCTTGTCTTAGGTATCTCCACGGAGACCCCCACCAGACAAGTTACAAAATTTACCTTTAAAGGAAGCCAGTGTAGACAGACATAAATCAGTGCCCCATCAAAAACCTGAACAGAACTGAAGAAGCCACTTGGATGAGTGGTGACGCTTCTTCACTCTAAACCTACTTACCTGAACATCTGTGGGATTACATAGACTTTATGTGACACACTTTAAACTCAATATTCATGCAATATTTATTTTAATAAACTTAATTAAGTCAAAGTCAAAAATACAATTAAGAAAAAGGCTGCTTTGATGTGATATTTCAGAATTGGACTTGCATGTGTGCACACTTACAGTGTACCTCTGTGGTACACTGCAGCTCTGCCTGTAGATGTATGTGGTGCAGCACAGAGAGGTGCTCCACTGCACCCCTCTGTGACAGTGGCCTGGTGTGTGGAGCTAATCAGACTCCTGGGATTCTCTGGGACACTGTGTCTGGGGCTGCTGTGTTAATACTGTACTGGGCATTCACTCTGAGAACTCAAGCAGAGCTAAAGGAGCTCTTCCACCTCACTGCAGAGACTCCTTCGAGAACAGTTTATCGAAATGAAGTTACCATACCATCTAACTTAAAGTTGAAACCATTCTTAAATTCCATTGTATACCTAAATTAAATTATCTTAATAAGATTAGATTTGGTTATCTATATATGTGTACTTTATTATCACTTTCAGACAAACCTCACATTACGCATTTCTTCTGAGTTTGGACATACAAGGATTTGCCCTTCTGCTGTTGGAGCAGCATGGAGAAAGCTGAGCATCAGTTAATAATTTTAACAAACAGACTTGCTCATGAAAATCAAATGTCAAAATTGATGAGATGGATCCTGCAATGGTAATCCCACCCTGAAGCTGCTGACATCAATATTGAAGTATAGACAAGCTTTCTTAGGCGATTGGTGCAATTTTCCTTCGGGGGAAAACTGTCAATTAGTAATGTTGCAGTAGCAGTACATCCAGCAGTCTCATCTGCTTTTCCTATGAAACATTAAGGTTAATTGGTTGGATGGTACATGCATACAACCAATAAAGCAAAATTTTGTAAATGATTGGAAATGTGCAATAATCAAAATCATAAAATTAAAGGTGCTCTGTGGATCTTTTCTGGTGGATTATTTATCTATACAGAGGCAGCAGGTGACACCTGGGTTAATAAAGTTTTTGGTCAATAAAAATCCATGTCATTGAGTAAATGCACGATAGATATGTTTAATGCCATAACGAGATATTCCAGACAAAAAAGTCTCCATAGCATGTCCATGGAGACAAGCAGTTGGTGAACCCTCCACCTGCAAAATTACACAGTGCACCTTTAAAGCGGTATGATTACAGTGTCACTGGATAGATTTTCTCTTCTTACAGTTAATACAAATATGTTACAATAAAATAATACAAAGGACACAACATGGTTTGATTAGTTCTCAGTGGATTTACAGTGACAAATACAAAGTTCTACACAGTAAACGTTTTGTCTGAGCTCATTTTTGACACAATTGGGTAATTGTGGTTTTGTTATATCAAACTGAGCTGACAGCCAAGTTGCTACCGGCAGTTTACATTTGAAATCTCTACATAATGATATCTGGGCACAAAGTTCAGATCATGCATAACATCCTCTGAGACCAATTATCTATTTGCCTCATAAGTACTTCACTCTAAAACGTCTGCTATTTGAAGCTGTAACTACAATAAGATACATGTGAAGAAGAAATTGTGCAGAAATGTGAAAGCTGTGAATAGAACAATACAATATTTTAAATTTCTCATAAATACTCCTTTTTTACCTGGTTAAAGGATTTGTTGTGTACTCTACTTAAAGTTACAGCAAATGCTGAGCAAGAGCAGTGACATGGGAATAAAAGAAAGTATACTTAAAAGTGTATGCATTTCCTTTTATCTGCTGTTCTGATTTTGTAGTGGCAGTGTATCTTTTCCCCTTGGTCCATAGTCGACCTTGTCTTAAAGCTAAACCTGAATAGTCACCTGTCCTCTCCAATCAGTCAGGGCTTCTCTCTTACAACATGGGTGGAGAAGTGGGGGTGTAGGTGTTAGTTAGGATGTTTTTGCCCTTGTAGAAAGCACTTTCTTTCAAGAGCTTCGTCAGGATGGTCATTAGAAGAGCCATAAGTGACACTTTGGATAGCACTTTGAGGCTTTCTCTTCTGTTCATCCTGAAATATACTATGCAGGCTTCACTACACTTCCCTTTAAAGGACAATGGTGTTTTCAGTGTTTATGTTGTCCTGAGGCTCTCACAGGTAGTGGAGGTGAATTCATGCCATTCATCTGAATGTATATTTTTCTTCAAATAAATAGCAGTGAAAAGATATACTCATTATTGTAATGATATTGGTAGAAACACAAAATCCATATTCTATGCAGCTTGTGTGTGTGTGTGACATTTTAATGCTCCATAGTAAGCTTATGTTTGCTGTTTTACTGTTGCACCTGTTTTGTGACAATACTTCAAAAGTCATAATCAAATACAACACAATTGGATTCTTTACTCATATACTGGACTATTGTCATTGTGCAGTAGTAGCTAGAGAATCTCAAATTTAGAAACACTGCCATATTCAACCTTATATTCCACAAAAGGAACTGAAAGAGGCTCAAACAACTAGACATATGGTTGAGTGGACATATTTAGTTTGTCTTTTGTTTTCTTGTCATTAATTTCCCTTGGCATGAAACAGCTGAATTCAAAACAACACTCAAAAGTGCTGTATTTGTTTCAAATTGCACCTGTATGGTTTAATCCCCTGTTTGTCTATCACTTTTGACTCTTATTTTGATCACATCAGTGTGCTCAAAGACAATACAAGTTTTGGGGTGTTTATCTCAACAAACTGAAACCATGATGCACATGGGTTTTGTGGAAGAGCTTCAACAAAATGGCCAAGCAATACATAGACAGAACCACTATTTAAAGGTACTGTTCCTAAAAACATCAAAGTCTATAAATATGAAAAACAGAACTAAGTTATTTAAACTGTTTGCACTTTACCTTATTCTTATATCCTAGTTATTCACTGTACTATGTTTATAAGTGCCCTGACAACAGAATGGAGTTTAGATGAGACAGAAAAGCTAATAACAACTAGCACGCTAATGTGCACTTTCTGATTATTGGATTATGCAGACAGCAAATGCAGACATTTTTGACTCCAAGAGCTGCTTGTACAATATGTCTACTTTAGCATGACAAATTTTGCTCAAATACATGAAAAAAAAATGTATATAGTGCCTTTAAGCAGAGAAGTTGCGGTTCAAATTCAAATTATAGCTGTGTATTTATTTATTTAGAACACAAACACTGTTAATCTGATGTAGCTGCCAGTAGCCCCGTGTGTTGGCCTTGTTCTGGGCTGGAGCCTCTTGTTCACATGTACCCATGAGCATGCCAGGAATTAGACCTGGCTGCAGTACCACATACTTCCCTGTCTGACCATCATTGTGTGAAAAACAGAGGA